TGTATCTTTCTTTAAGAGGCACTTTTAATTAAAAATGCAGGAAAAGTGGACAGAGAAAGCTGACTGGAGAATCTGTGTCCTGTCACCTGTGTGGGAAGTGTTTTCTAATTCCTTGCTTCTCCCCATTTAGTGATGGCAGGCAGGATCAGACTGTCTTGGCATGTGAAGCAGAGAGTGCTGTAGGAGACCAACTTGTTCTCTTCCAGGACTCTGCCCAGGAAAACCCCAACAGCCCTCTGCTTGGTTACGCACAAAAGGGAACAGCATGGTGGGAAAATCATGAGGCTGCCCTGTTGAGCTCTGTACAGTTTTCTCCTATTACTATTTCTCCATGAGCTTTTTATGCCAGGTATAAAGTGGAGGATTTAATCTCATTAGTCTCTGAGGCACCCTTTGAGGTCCATGCGTGGCATTTTGCCCGTTTTCCTGGCAAGTAGGGAGCGTGAGGCTTCCAGCCCAGATGGAAGCTGAATTCAGACCCTGGGCTCTGTCACCCTCCCCACCACTTGGCCACCCTGTGACTCGTCCTGTGGCCTTTCCATCATTCTGTTTGCCTACTTCATGGCAGTTGAGGGTCACTGTTATTTGTCTCTAAAAGTGTCGCCTTTGTACTAAAAAATTGTGATTTTTTGAACTGGTTTTCATGATTTCGTAGTGGTCTTATATCCTGTGCATTACGGCATGTGTATAGCCAGCTGCTCTTTTTTTTTTTTTTTTTGTACCAGGAATTCAACATAGGAGCTCACATCTGCCAGGCAGGCGCTGTGTCGCTGAGCCGTAGCCCCAGTCTCTCAGCTCACAGAAATTGAAACCTCTAAACTTATTGCCATAGATTTTAGTGCTCTTAATGTTTATCAACTGTTTTTACACCATTTTCAGTATTTGTTCTGGTGTTTAACCAATACGCTGCTGTTCAGTTCTGCACATTGTATCAAGGTGCTTCATTTATTCATCCAGACAGTGTGACGCTCGCTCTCAGAGTGAGACCAAGAAAGGAGCACTTGACACAGTGCAGGATACAGGCCCCTGAAGACAGCCCTCTCCCACTCCTGGGATGCCAAGCTGGTGATGGGATGTACTCAACAGTAGTTTATGTGGGGGTAAAAGAAACGTTACTTTCTTATATAGAGAAATCCTCTGTAATTTGATCATGTAGTGCAAATGAATGGTTTCTTGTTTTTTCTCATTGATTTATTCATGGGAACTACCAAAGTATACCTCTAAATGACAGTGATTATGTTGGTTGTGTGTGTGTGTGTGTGTGTGTGCTTTTTTGTACTGGGGATCAAACTCATGACTGGGCACTTGCAAGGGAGGTGCTTATGCTGCTGAGCTAAATCCCCTGCCCATTGTGATTATGATTTAATGTCAGTAACATTTACTGGGAGCCCTTTCCCCAGTATCTGGAATTCCTGTAATTTGGAGTAGGGATGGTGAATGAATTAACAGTCAAAATAAACAAACCCTAAAATATTGCTGTGGAAGTGATATTGCTACACTGCCTTCCAACTAAAAATTAGGGAAATTAAATAATTAGGCATTGAGCAAATGGAATTTTCCTTTGGGATTCTTGGAATAAACTAGAGGTGTTCAGGTCTGTCCTTTTATGCGCTTTCCAAGATGAAGTACTCTACTGTGGCTCCTCAAGGTGTCTGTCTACACCTCTACCCCACCACTGAGCATGCTTTTCAGCCTGTTGAAAAATCACACTCTGGGTGACCATGACCTGTTGGCCACTTTATCATTCATGTTTTTGTGAAGTAAGTTTAGAATCTTAATGGGTTTTGATGTCAAAATTGGATGTCGATTTGTACTTGATAGCTTGAGTGCCATAGTACATTTTTAGTTTAATAAAAACTCCTTTAATGCCTTAACTGCCACCTTAAATTTCTGGTGATCAAATTTGAAGACAAACAGAATCTTGGCAACTAAAATTTGAAGATTGAAGAGATCTATGATTTTCAACTTTTATAGGCCATGGAGTATTGTTTAAAAGGAGAGATGTTTTGAAACAGTTTCTTAGGAACCATTTTTCCCAATCTATGAGTAGACATTTTGATACACATCTTCAAATCAGCTGCCAGGAAATAAAGATGTTACTGATTGCAAAATATGCATTGAAGTTAAATCAGAACTGGTTTCATATTATCATATAAACTAGAAAAATACTTAAAATGAATTGTAGTTCTTTTGTTTGAAATTGCCTTGGCTAATAATAAAGACTACCTCAGTGGCTGCTGTCTTTGAAATGTTCTGGGGCAGAATGCAGTCCAGGTCTTTTCATTATCTGGCCCTGCCAGCAATTCCTGGATTCCTAGCATTCCAGTCTGCCTTCACATTGGGCTCTCCTCAAAGGTCTTCCTTGGGTCTCTGCTTGTAAAGGTCAACTTGCAATAGATTCCACCTTGATCAGTAGGACTTCCTCTGAACTGGTCATATCTACAAAGACCCCACTCCCAGTGAAGTGGGACTCATAGGTCAACAAGTCTTAGGAGAGGACACAATTCAATAGCTAAAGTAAAACTCCCCATTACCCAAACTCTTATCTCAAAAAAAAAGGAAGAGAAAATAAAAGAGAAAAAAGAGAATGTACAAACAAGACCTTTAATGGTGTTGAAAGGTTGTAATGCTCTGCTGTTGTGTTAGTGGGTTTCCTCTTACTATCATAAACTCCCCAAGATTGGGTAATTTATAAAGAGGCTGACTTAGCTCACGTTTCTTCTAGTGAGGGCCTTGTGCTGGGTCAGTTCATGGCAGAGAAGTGGAAAGGGGAGATGAGTGTGCACAGGAAGTGTACTTCTGTGTTGGACAGGTGGGTGGAACGACCCTGATTTAATAGTCTCCTCTCACCGTAACTGAGGGAGTCCTCTGGCCTCACTCACTCCCATGCGTGTGTCAGTCTCAAGATCTGAGCCAGTCTCTGGAGAAAGACATCAATCGAGGCCTGAGGGCAGTGTCCAGCTGCTGGCCATACTATTACGTTGGATACCAGGCTTCCAGCACAGAAACTCTGCAGCCAAGCCATCCATGAAACTCAGCACTTCTATGTGAAGTCAGCAAGCAATGCTGTATGGGTCTTGGCACCGTGGCCTTTAAAGGGCCAAGTGATTCTTTATTGAGGGGTCTGCCCTCTGCATCTCAGTGCGTCTAGCAGTGCCCCTGATCACTCTACCCATTGGACATCAGTGGCCCCCTTCCCTGCAGACAGTGACCCTTAACACCACCTCCCGATAGTGTCTTCAGGGCCCATCTCCCGTGCTGAAAATCACTGAACTACAGTGAAATGTGACTGAGGACAAGGTAGCACCTCCCACAGTGACCAGGACACTCACGTTTCTGCATGTGTACTGGTGCATGCCAATCTGTTAAACTAATATAAACTATATAATAAAAGAAACAGATTTCCTCTTTCTACCTTAGCTTTTCCAGTAACAGACAAGACAGGTGTTTGGCACATATGGTAGCATGAGATGTGGTTTCCTGGAGCTGGCCAGGATCAGGAACAGTTTTAGCTGTTCTTCTGATCCTTGCTTTTCAGCAAAATGTCCATTGCTTCTCAATTCTTTATGTCCAAGGTCCTTCTCAAGTCCTCTGTAGGATGAGGGAGTGGTTCTTCTTACACATATTGAGCAAAAGATCTTAGAAAATCATTACAGCTTCCTGATTTGCCCTCCTTAATGAGATTTGAATTTAGATAGGCCTGGTACTGAAAAGGATTAGTTACATGGAAAATTCTGAATTAGGGCAAGGCTACTGACAAGGATGTTTTAGGTCAAATCAGCTTTTTAGTGCTTGAGATAAAGGACCAGGCTGGTGTTTCACCCAGGGAACCTTGAGCCAATGACTGGAAAACTTGCTGTGTGTTGTAAGGTGCGAAGCCTGAGCATGGTTAGGCAGCTTTCTGTTCCTAAGAGAAGTCTCTAGATTACCTTTGATGTCTGACACTTCCCTGTCACCTGTATCCTATAAAGTCACCAAATCTTAGGAGTTCTTTTCTGTGAACATCTGTTGAATATTTGGGTCACTTCTTCATTGGGTGTTTGGACAGTGGAAGACTCTTTAGCTAAGTATTGAAGTGTGTCTTTCAGTCCCCAGCTCTGGCCAGACAAATTGTCCTAAGCACAAATTTTGAAGAGTCACAGAAGTCTCCTGGGCTTTTCAGACCTGGCTCTCTGTTTTCTATGTGGCTTTATCTTCTAGTAAAACAAACCTGTTTTCCAGCACACAAAGTTGTTTTATCCCGATTCTTGAATGACACTCATTACTGTTCTGTGCCTTTGTGTATGTTTTTAGTATTACCTACAATGAAAAAGTATTTTTCCTACCACTTGGTCAAGTTCAGCCCCAAGTTCAGCTGAAGCCTTCCTTCTGCCCAGAGCTACCCACAACCCATTCTCTAGTGACCTCTACTTGCTTTTATTCTTAAAGCGCGAGTGAGTTTACCCATTAACTAACTAGTAAGGATGAACACATACTTACTTCAACCCTTACCAGTGTAAAGCTTTGTTCCAAGTAATGACAGTTTGCATATACGGTTTGCCATCTACTTCAACTAATTAGAAAATCCCTGAAAGATAAATACTTTGTGCTCTTCACATTTGATGCAGCATAATCATTATGTGCAGAATGAGTCTCAGTGGAGACTTAGATTAATGGCTGGCCAGGCACTGAGTATATTCTGATTCTGTTTTCAAGTGACCAGAAACTCATGAGGCCTGGGGCAGAGCTGTAGGATGTCAGAGAAGAGAGATTTCTTAGATAGCAAGCTGAGAAAGATGCCTTGACAAAGGAAAATCAGGCAGCAGTTTGTAAAGGAAATCTGCTTACCTGATTTGTGAAAGACACAATGGTCTTTCATAGTTGACATTTTGGGTATAAGCTACATGTCCCTTTGAACTGCTTAAGTAATGCCAATGAGAAAATAGGAAAATAGTAGTTGGTATGTGTCATGAAACGTTTGCATGCAGAATTGTAGGTGACCTTGATTTGCTTCTTTGCAGACACCCAGGTTTCCTCTCGACCCTGCATCCATGGACATTTGAAAGTGCCACAGTCAGACACTCGCAAGCATGGAGACCTCTTCGATGCTTTCCTCGCTAAATGAGGAGTGTAAGTCTGACAACTACATCGAGCCCCACTACAAGGAATGGTACCGACTAGCTGTGGACACTCTGATCGAACACGGGCTGGAAGCATACCAAGAATTTCTTGCCAAAGAACGAGTCTCAGACTTTCTAGCTGAGGAGGAAATTAATTACATTCTGAAGAATGCCCAGAAGCCCACACAGAGCACTGCACATGGGGCTGGAACTGATGGTTCCAGTGATGACAACTCATCTTCGGTAACGTACTGGCCCCTGGAATCGGACGTGGAGCCCCCCAATCTTGATTTGGGCTGGCCGTATGTGATGCCCGGACTCCTAGGGGGCACTCACATAGACCTCCTCTTCCACCCACCGAGAGCACAGCTGCTAACTATAAAGGAAACTATTCGGAAGATGATCAAGGAAGCAAGAAAGGTAATGCTATTTCTATTTTGAAAGGTGGGGAACTAAAACATGTAGAGTAACAGATGTGTATGTTAATTAAAGAACTCTCTACGTGTGAGCCAGGCTTTTATTTTTAGGAAAGATACCTATGAATTCATTAGAAGCTTGCACTTCCCATGGGTCACAAGTATCCAAGGGAGAGGCGGTACATTCCAGCTGGCGGTGGAGAGAACCCTCTTTTCATGATGTACCCGAGGCCTAATATTGTAGCCCTGAAGGCTGAGCTGTGTGGACTTGGAATATAGTGATTTGATGTGTTCCTAAATTTAAAGCACTTAAAAGTTTTCTTTATTCTTTGAAGGGAAATATATTGGTGGATCTGATGAAATTTTCTTTGTTCTCCATAGGACTCATTCTGGTTTATGAGATTACATAAACTGTAGTTTTATTTTTGTTTTATGAGTTAAATGGAAGCAGTATTAAAAGCAGCATGATAATTTAATACTCTGGATAACGATGCTAGGTATTTAGCATTTTAGGGCCTTCGTGCTTTGTATCAAATATTTCTAATGCCTTATAAATCTCAGAAGTCCTATTTTAGAGCTCAGAGAAAAGTTCAGAAGTATTCTTGTGGTCAACCAATAAAAATCACTGACCGTTTTTATATTATATATCCAGTGTTGTGGAAGACAATGGAGAATACAACAAAATTTTGAATTTGTTTTTTTGGAAGGTACATTGTGTGTTTACTGAGTCTCTAAAAATAATATCCTCCACTGGTTTTTGTCTGCTGGAAATGCTGTTTGAAATGCTGTGGAGGAAATTGAAGAGTTTCCTCTAGACCAATGTAATGTTTTGCTTCTTTTCAGTAAAATCAAATGACATCAAGTTAGACACAGAATGTTATGTATACATATCTAAGCTGAATTTGAAAAAGACATTTGATCTAATTGAGTATAATACAACTGAATATAAAGCATAACAAGTAATTTTGCAGGTAATCTTGTGGTCTTTTCAAAAACACTGAAGAATATGCTAGTTTTTACTCAAATGTAATAAATATTGAGGGCTAATTAGCTATTTAATGCATGGAAGCTGTATTTATCAAGTACTTTGGGAGTTGGTAAAAGATCTATCATTTATCTATTTAAAGATTTTTCAAGAATCAGATACTCTGGAAAAAAATCATTGACTCAATTAGAAAAATAAAATTACTTAGCCAATAGCTAGAAAAAGTCCTGTAAAACAATTTTAAAATAAGGGCAAATATTATTACGAAATAAGAGCTTGTCAGAACACATTGCTTTATAAGATGAGGCTTGGTTTTCACAATTGTCCTTTACTCAACAGAAAGTCCTGTTCTGTCCTGCAGAAGCAAGGTACACTTTCAGGTTTTGAATCTTTTTCAGAGGATCCTTTTCTTAGCGCTGACTTAATGGGTGTGTCTGTATAAGGGGAACCATCTCTTTTTCTCACGGAGTGTTTGATGAATAAATTGTGAGGGCCGAATAGTTTCTGGCTCCATTCTTCCAGGAGATTCCTCTGGCAATCAACATTGTAAAACTGCACAAATATGAAGCCAAACAAGTAGGAATACGAATTGGCAAAAAAACAAACCAAGAAGTGATCTCAGAAAAAGACGGATCTCTTCATTGTTCTGTTTACAATTGAGATGAGGCATTCATGGAAATAAATCTTAAATTAATTAAAAGAATCCAAGTGTAGTATGCTTTGAGGACTAAATAATTAAAGTCTGATCATAAAACATCAAGTTAGCCTTGGAGGACCTCAGGAAGAGAGTTAAAAATGATACTATCTCTCATCTGTCTTTACCGGAAATAGTAAAAGTAAAAATGTTTTGTGCATGCTGGTGATTGAACAAAGGGCCACTTTTGCCAGTCAACTGTACAACCACTGAGCTACACCCTTGAGCCCTGAAATATATTTTTCATATCAGGGTTACACTCTTGTTCCTAGCTTAGGTTCTACTGTCTGTGAATAATTTTTGTTTCCGAAATAGAAGGTACTTTTATAGTATTTTTAAAATCTATACTTTTAATTGTTTGTACTTTTTAGAAATTGTCCTTCAGACATTATCTCCAGGCTTTACTCCTCTTTCTTTTGCATATTTTCTCTTTTTGTTTGAGAATTTTCTTTTGGGAAAAGCCAGTTATAGATACTATCTTACATGTGCCCTAAAGGAACATAATTTATTTAATTTTTTTAGACCCTTTCTATTTTTTACGGTGTGTTTGACATAATTACTTTGGTCTGCTTCATAAAGTCTGATAGTGTCTAGCAAGACTTTTCCCAAGTAATTACTTGTCTCCCAAGGAATGTTCCCAAGGTGATATATGCATGTGTTTCTAATTACTGTGAACTCCTTTTATGAAAACATCCCCTTTAATTACTTTAAAAAATCATCTTTCATTAAAGTAATTTTTTTCTGGTCACTCAGTGGTACCCACTTACAAAGTTTGACTTCTGCTACCAACGAGCATGGAGATAGTTCCCCAGGATGTCCTCTGCCTGTCTGTCCCCCAGTTCTAGAAGAGCTTCTTCTGAGAAATATGATGCTTACTCTTGCAAAGTACTGCATCAAGCAGATGCACAGCGGGAGCAAAGTGAGAATCATGCACAGTTGTCCCAAGGTGTTCCATCCACGTCACTCAAGCTCAGATCCTAGCTGCTCCCTGAGTCACCCTACCTGGGTGTGTCTGCTTGGCTCCCAGAGCTGTTAGTCACTGGGAGCAGTGTGACCTGTTACTGTAGCTGGCCCTGTGCAAGCAAAGGAGGAGGTGACCACATAATGGGGGTCCTCCGGGGAGCTAACCTGTAGCCTAAAGGTAGTATTAGACTGGGGGCTTGGCCCCCGAGTTCCACACTAACTACTGTTGGCACTGAACATCTGAGAGATCGTTGTATCTTCATCGACTTATTTAATAAAAGATACAAAACAAAAGCTTTTGGGTATCTCTAAAATGTGGTGTGCATATTTAAGTTTGTAATTGTCCTTAAACTAGTAGTACACTGCTAGCCGAATGAATTCGTAGTAGTCATGATTCTTTTCGTGTTGCGGGTCCTCCCAGCTACTCCACCTTGTAACTGCCTCCTACCCAGTTCTTTCCTGCCTTCCTTAGATTAGGGTCACCTCTTTCTTACCGTTCTCAGTTTTTAATTAAGAATTTCTTCTTTGCCCTTTTTTCCCAACTCTCACTGAAAATCTTTTCATCCTTAGAATTTGGGTCATAAATAGTTCCAGGAAATATTTTTTACTTAGGGTTAATAGCATTATTATGACACTTAATTGAATGTCTTTTCTCTGAACAAAGGGGATTACTGTACATGAATACGTATTTTTGTTTGAGTATGTGTGTGAGAGAGGTGGGCAGAGGGAAGAAGGGCAGAGAAAGAGAGGGGAGGACACAGAGAGAGAGATGGGAGTGAGGTGGGGTGAGGGCAGGAGGCTGCAGGACTGGGCTGCGGCTGCGCTGACTGCAGGCTGAAACCAGACCGCTAGAACAGGTCCCACGTTCTCCTGGGCTCCGTCACTGCCTGCTCTTCACCAGCGACAGCTCTGTATTCAGTTTGTTACTTTTAAAGGAGTTACTTAAGGGAGATAGATCCGGCAAAAAAGGTCCTGCTTAGGAACTTTTTTTTTTTTTTTGTCTTTTTCATTTTTATTGGTACCGGGGATCGAACTCACGACCGCCTGCTTGCAAGGCAGGTGCTTATGCCGCTGAGCTAAACCCCCAGCCCTTGCTTAGGAACTTTTAAAATATTATTTTAATTTTATGCTTCTTGGGCTGACTTGATAACTTTTATGGACAAAACAAACCATAAGTATTTTTTAAAAATTGCCTGAATTCCAATAATGCTGTAAAGAGGTAATGGGGTAAAAGTGCAGAGGCTTGGAGCCCTCTTAAACCTGGTCCAGCCGTTCGTCCTGTTAGATTAGTTGTTAGAATGCAGCCTTGAATTATTTCCCGGTGTGTCATGGAGATGCTATGCAGATAGGACCCTTGGAGGATGAAGATAGCTGGTTTCTGACGGGGCACGTGGCTGCTCCTGTGGTCTTCCTGCTGGCTGCTCTTCACTCCTCCTCCTCTTTCTTCTTTATGCCTATTTCCTTATCCCTCCATTCTGTCAAAAAATGCATTGACTTAGTATTTGCCTTACTGACTTAGCATTTGTTCTTTGAAAATGAGAACAACCGGCGACTTAATCCAGTATTTAAGAACACAGGGTGGCCCTAGGAATACCAGCTAGGCTTACTGGCTGTTTGTCAAGTGAATAATCCTCAAGATGGAAGTGCTTGTCTAGCGGATCGTGATTCTGCACACTGTATTAGTGGAAGGGTATCACAGTATTTACCGCATGCCATGCCTTGGTAGTCCTAAACTGGGAAAGGATCAGTTTAACATAAATACATTTGAAAGTAGCAACCACTGTGAAGACAGTGTAGATATGTATTTTATATTCAGGGTATGCATAAAACTTTCTTTTTAGAAATACGATGTTTAAGAAATATGTTTAAGTCATATTCTTCCCTGTAGATCGAAGATCTGATGGAAAGTTAGAGAAGGGCATATTCTACAGAGTATGGAAAAATCATTCCATTATCATCTAGAATTTTTTAAATGTTAAAACTTAAAAGATATGCAAAGGTCATGTATTTATGAAGAAGAAAAAGTTTTCGTAAATTTCTAACATCCACCTGCCTTACAGACCTGTGACCTGTGTGTCCAAAGTTCATTTAAGCACCTTTTAGTTTACAACATATGACTACTTACTGAAAATTTCTGAAATGATTCAAAAGACAGTAAATAATATTATTTGAGGTATATCTTATTGAATTCTCTTTAAAAAGATCTGCTTTCGTGTTAACGGTGCTATTTTATGCTTTAGTGTTGCAGTACTTGGGAACATATGAAAACATGAAAATAACTGATGGTCTGCAGTCTTGAATTTGGTTGCACACCAAAACTTTCAGTAACTTATGAATTTCAGATATTTGTAAGACAGCTAGC